TAGATATGTTATATTTAGTCTGTTTTATTGTTTTTACGGTCGATTTAGTTATCATTTAGATCTATTGGATTATATCTATTTCTCTGAATTCAACTATTATCTTTTATATTTTTAATATATTAAACCTTTGATTAATTGTCTTATTTACATTTATGCTGGTTGTTATCTTAGAAATATAAGTATATTTAGTAAGATTATATATAACTTAAGATTTTTTTGTGCTTAGAAGGAAAAAAAATAAAAAATAAAGTTTCTGATTCTAAATTACATACATAAGTAACTAATGAATTTTTAGAAGCTTTTGAACACATATCAATATTTACATAATTAAAATAGTTTATAAATTTAAATAAATTTATGTTTTAGATTAATTGGATGGTAAACTGAAATTTATTTTAAATAACTTTAAAAATAAGGATTCTAATTTGCTTAAGTATTTTGACTATGGTTATATTAAGTTTCACAAACATAAAAAAAAAAGAAATTCAAAATCAAAAGATTTATTTAAGAAAACATATAATTTTAACTATTAAAATATAACATATCTACCTCGTTAAATTAAATAGTGTTCTGGTATTTTAAAATGATTGTAGTTATTTTATGTTTTTATGTTTGTAAAACTTAATATAACCATAATCAAAATACTTAAGTAAATCAGAATCTTTATTCTTAAAACAGATAATTTTAACTATTAAATATAAGAGATAATTGGCTAAAGTGCCCTATTTGGCACCTATAATTAGAGAATTGCCCATGATGTGACAATCACTTTCCTTTGGACCATTTTGTCCCTCTCTACACTCTCTCTCCTCTCTTTGACATCTCCCCTCTTTTTTTTTTCTTCAATCCCTAATTATTTTACAAATCTCTATCATTCTATATACAATTAAATTTTAAATTTCATTATTTTTTCATAAGTGGCTTTAAATCCTCAATTTTGACCTTTTTTTTTCTCTCCAATCCCTAATTATTTTACAAATCTCTATCATTCTATATACAATTAAATTTTAAATTTCATTATTTTTCTCATAAGTGGCTTTGAATCCTCAATTTTGACCTTTTATATTAAACATATATCAGTTTATGTTAGTTGATTATTTTATGTAATCATCTAATGAAATAGATAGATATATACAAAAATAATTATTTTGAAAATATATATATTTTATTGTTTAAAATTATTTTTTTTAAAGAATTTTTTTTCTTTTTCTAATAACAATATTTTTTGTGTGAAATCTTTTTATAAAATCACATTATATACAGATATTTTTTTTATCTAAGAAGAAATATATATAAAGTAGTTTATTACTTCAAAGATATGTTTTATGTTATTTAAAATACATTTAAATTAAATATTACTCTTTTGTGAACTTTCCTTTTTTTATTAAACCATATTATATATACTTATATTTTCGTTTTTAAATAATTTTGTAAATTTTATAAATGTTTCCTTTTTATTTTATATTGTTATTTGGAAATTTGTAAAAAGTAAATAATATTTAACTGTATTTTTAATTCATTAGGGATATCATAGTAATCAACCAGCGTGAAAGTTAACGTGAGCGCGACACCTAAGAAAGTGACTTCTCAAATAATATTATAGAGATATCAAGTATTATCAAATAACTTACAAGTATTTAAACTATAGACAAGTACTTGACTTACTAAGTACTTACTATGTATTTGATCGGTCAAGTACAAGAACAAGCCAAAAAAAATAATATTTGGACAAGGAAAGTCAAGTAGTAGGTATGATAAAAAAACCAAGTATCCGACTTGTGCCCAGGCCTACAAGTAACAGAACGCTTGTCTGCAGTTAACGTAGATTAACAATTACACCGGACCTATAGACAATTTACATCATGTGCGCATGCATTGATTTCTATCTGATTGAAATAAATAAACGCAAGCTCATAGAGCGAGGAATAGGATAACCCAACTCTTAGATGCCGATGGGAACGTTGTGGAGGATGAGGAAGGCCTGGTAGCCATTGCTACTAGCTATTTTCGCCAAATTTTCCAATCATCGAACCCTGAGGAAATTGAGGAGGCACTTTCTGAAGTAACCACTACAATTACGCCTGCAGATAATGAGGGTCTTACAGCCCCGGTCTTAGAGTGGGAAGTTAAATTAGCTCTCTTTGCTATGCATCCTGAGAAGGCTCCTGGGCCTGATGGAATGACTGCCTTATTCTATCAAAATTTTTGGGATATCGTTAAGGAAGATTTAACTCGTATGGTTAATGATTTCTTATTTCAAGGGATTATTCCAACATGTCTTACCGATACTAATATATGTCTTATCCCGAAAGTTGACAAGCCAAACCAGATGAGTCAGCTTCGACCTATCAGTCTCTGTAATGTGTGATATAAGATTATTTCAAAGATTTTATGCCAAAGACTTAAAAAGGTGCTTCCAGATAGGATTTCTGAAACCCAGTCAGCCTTTGTTGCTGGGAGACAAATATCAGATAACATAATGATAGCTCAGGAATTGTTCCATGTGGGCGCAATAAGAGGATGGCCATTAAAACAGACATGAGCAAGGCATATGATCGTATGGAATGGTCTTTCATTGAAGCCATCATGAGGAAGATGGGTTTCTCCGAAATCTGGATCACCTGGATTAGCGTTGTATAAGGACAGTAAAGTATAAGGTACTCATGAATGGACAGCCACGAGGGAATATTGTCCCGGAGAGAGGTCTACGTCAGGGAGATCCTTTGTCCCCTTTCATTTTTATTCTATGCACGGAAGCGCTCGTTAGCCTTCTTAATCACGCAGAGAATCAGGGAAAGATAACGGGGATGCGCATCACGCGTGCGTGTCCTTCGGTATCACACCTGCTATTTGCTGATGATAGCCTGTTCTTTTGTAAGGCGGAGCCCCGTGAATGTGAAGAAGTAATGAAAGTGGTTAGGAATATGGACAAGCCTTTGGGCAGTGCATCAATTTTGACAAGTCTTCTTTACTCTTTGGTAAGAGGATTGGTCAAGAGGCTAGACAGGAGATAAAAGATACACTCGGGATACAAAATGACGTAGGAATGGGAACCTACCTAGGGATACCAGAGGATATCAGTGGCTCGAAATGTAAGTTGTTCGCCTTCTTAAAAGACAAACTTCGGCACAGAGTGAATGGATGGACGGGTAGGTGGCTATCCAAAGGTGGAAAGGAGGTTATGATTAAGTCAATCTTGTTAGCACTCCCAACCTATGTTATGTCTTACTTTTTGCTTCCATTGGAGATATGTGATGCCTTGACTAGTGCCATTGCACAGTTTTGGTGGAGCTCAAACCCACCAAAGAGAGGCTTACACTGGACAAAATGGGATAAGCTGTGTATATCTAAAGAGGATGGTGGAATTGGATTCAGGATGATTCATGAGTTTAACCTCGCTCTACTAGCAAAGCAGTTGTGGAGGTTGGCTCAAAATCCGGATTCATTGGTTGCCCGTGTGATGAGAGGGCGATATTATAGACTAAGCTCGCCTTTGCGAAAGATCACTGTCAATAGTCCATCGTATGTGTGGACAAGCGTCTCGGCTGCACGTGAGTTGTTGCTATTGGGGATTAGACAGAAAATTCATTCAGGGTATGATGTGAAGGTGTGGGAGGATCTATGGATTCCCACAATCCCAGCGAGACCGGCGCATGCTTCAGCTCCGGTTATGCATCCGAATATGAGAGTGAATGATCTGATTAATCAAGAAACCAAGACTTGGGATTTGGAACGGCTGGCAAATTATGTTGACGCTGATGATATACCTCTCATAAGGAGTATGGCTGTTAGTGCAACCCATCGTAGAGACACACACTGCTGGAGTTACACAAGGAGTGGGCAGTATACCGTCAAGTCTGGCTATTGGGTAGCTCGTAATATACTAATGAAGGAGGATGAGAATCTGGTAGACGAACCTAGTTTTAAAAGGCTTCAAGCACATGCTTGGAAGGTTAAAGCACCCCCGAAGATGTGTCATCTTATGTGGCAGATTATATCGGGGCAGTTGGCTGTTACGAGTGCGCTGAATCATAGACACATGAGGTGCGATAATTTCTGCCCATGATGTGGAGATCCGGAGGAAACAATTGCACATGCAATTTTTCATTGCCCACCGGCTTTGCAGGTATGGGCATTGGCATCTATTCTTACCAGCCCTACTTTATTCCCTTTGGAGAGTACATACGCAAATATGGATTATCTGTTTTGGCGGAAGAAGATCATTTGTGGGCCAGAAGTAGAAATGGATCCTTACCCTTGGTTGATATGGTACATTTGGAAGGCTCGGAATGATAAGTTGTTCAGAGGAATAAATAGAGATCCATTGGAACTGGCCCGGTATGCAGAGAGTGAGTGTCTTGCCTGGTTCCAGGCTAATGAGCAAGTTGTAGAAAATGTGCAAGGGGATGGAGATACTGATCGTCAGGCCATAAGTCTACGAGATATCTGCATGATAGATGGTTCTTGGACCTCTACAGATCAATTTTCTGGGTGTGGTTGGGAGTGGAAGGATAGCAGGGGAAATAGTCAACTGATGGGTATGCGTAATGTGAGCATAGTTGAGTCGGCTTTGCATTCTAAGCTGGAATCGCTGCGGTGGGCAATGGAGAACATGCTTCAACATTCGCCATGTCAGAGTTTTGGGACGGACTGCAAGGAATTGGTAGCAATGCTTAAGGAACCCCACGGATGGCCAAGAATTTCAACTGAACTGGAGAGGATTTCGACGCTGAGGATTTGTTTCCCAGAATTTGAGATATCTTATGTACCTCGTTCTCTTAATGTTGTCTCTGATCATCTAGCTAAGACTGCCCGATCCTTTTATCGGAATCTCTTGTATGTTGGTTGTTCTATTCCGGTCTGGGACCACCTCAAGTTTGAGTAATAGATCAGCCGTTCGTTGTCAAAAAAAAAAAAACGCAAGCTCATCGAACAACATTACTTTCAGTACTAAATTACTAAACCGAACCAACACAACAGTAAAGGACCAACTAAGGATTCTAAGGGATGATTTGGTCGAGAGGCTTGCCAGCTTCCTTGTGGTCCAGAGGCTTGGCAGCTTCCTTTGGGCTGAGACACTTGGAAGCTTCCTTGTGGTCACGTTCTTCTTTAGCCAGCTTCTTGAGGCGAGCCCGCTCGAGATCTCTACCCATCTTTTTCGTATACATCTCGGCAAACGTTATTGGCTCCTCCAGGATCAGCTTCTCTCCTTCTCTCATTTTAAGCGGATACACGGTTGCTTCTGGCGCAGGATTCTGGAACGTGGCTATGGATAACCTGCTCGAGTTGGAGTTCACCACAGCCTGGTGGTCAGCGTTCTTGAACCTCCCATTGCTCAAATACTTCAAGAGACATGCAAGAGTTTGACCAAATAAAATCACAAAAGAATAAAATAAAGGGAGATTTACCCATATAGCCATAAAAAACATAAATACACTATCTAACCAAAGACACGTTCTCTCTCCTTATTTACTTTTCTGTATTTTTCTAACTTCTCACTAAAAATCTAAATTTTTTTTTTATTTATTTAGCAAATAAGCCCTAAAATAAAAGCACAGTTTGACAGAGGTTAAGAAAGTACTGACGTGACCATGGTCGCCAAGATTAACGACAAAAGCTCCTTCAACAGGCTGAACTGTAATCCATGTCTTCCCATCGTCTCGTGTAGCCTGTAAACCACCGACTTGGTCTTGGAGCAGCAAAGTGATGGTTCCAGGGTCAGTGTGACGCTTGAGTCCGAGTGTGAGATCAGGCTGAGGGCATTTTGGGTAATAATTAACAACTATTTTCTGGTCCATATCGACACAGGAATTGGTAAGTGCTTCTTTCTCAAGTCCCATAGCTTCAGACAAAATCTCAAGAAGCTTACAAGCCAATCCCATCAGCCTCTCGCTGTACTCCTCCGTCACTTTCACCCACCCTTCCGGCTTATTCGGCCACCGTGAGTAGTCACGGTTTCTCACCGGGTACGAGAAATACGTCACGATCTCTCTCCAATCTTGAACAACCTCTCCCTATACATTCATAATAACTAGTACGTTTTTAAATACAAGAACATAACTGAGAAACACATGCATGAGTCTAAGGGCAACATTATTGCTAGGAATGGATAATTGTTTCTTAGCTTATTTTATTATTTTTTTATGTTAAGAAACAAATGTAAGAGACAATCATAAAATAGTAGATTATTGGTAGGATTTTTAGATGTTTCTTAGTAAATTATTTTTTGTTTTAGTAAATTATGACATATAAATGATAAGTGATAATTAAGCGATAATCATGCCCTAAAGTCGAGTAATCCTTGGTTTTGATAAAATAAATTCAAATAGAAAATTCAAATAGAAAATTGTTAGGATCCGACTCATCCAAGACATACCTAGGAAGGAGAGGAGACCTAAAGTAAGTTACGAGTTGGTATCTAATGAATTAAGCAACAAACAAACTTTTATTAATTTATTTTTGAAAACGTCTATAAAATTTATAGTGGATTTACCTGGAGATGACTTGACACTATGAATCCTCCTTTTTTACCACCGGACATGTCGAATTTGAGTTTTTCCTCAGGAGGTAAAGCGAAGAAGTCGCGAGCGAGACGAGTCATATTCTCCACCAATTTATTATCAACGCCATGATCAACCACCTGAAAAACTCCCCAGTTCTCACAAGCCTCAACGATCTGACGACATATTTCTCCTCTTTTTCCACCGGCATTGTCTATTCCTGCGAGAGATATCACGGGGATTTCGTTGCTAAACTCATTGTAGGCAACCTTGGGACGTTCGTCCTCGTCCCGGACGAACTTAGAGCTGAGCTTAGACTCTCCAGCAAGCTCAGTTAGAGTTGCGGGAGCCATCTATATTCTCAAGAGTGTTAAATTGCAAAAAAAAAAGCAAAAAGACGGAATGAATAAGAAAAAAGAGGAGAATTGTAGTGAATATATAAGAAGACACAACAAGAAAAACTTGTTATAACTATCAGATCTTTTGTAGCTATGGCTCAAGTTTTGTAATTATTTGATCAGTACCTATATTTAGTTACAAGATATTGTGAATATCATCCAAGCGATGTTTGTGGTTAATATCAATAAAAAACATCCATGGCTATAATAGCAACAACTAACCACAAGCCTTATTATCGCTATAGCTTTTTGCCTATTTCGAGTTCTGTGGCTTTTTAAACTTCGGCTAAAATCCCCTATAATTTACATGTAGGCATAAATGGAAAACATGGAATTTGAATCTTTCATCCCTAACAATCGGGTGCTAATGTTTTTTTACCTTAAACTATTGTTTTCTGCACCATGTGCAGAAATAAAGAAAATAAAAAAACAAATTTTTGTTGATTTTTAGATTTTATTGTTTGTTTATAACATTTTAATTTTAAATAATTTCAATACATGTAGAATGAAAATAAAATAAATATATTTTTCTAAATGTATGTTTAATATTATATATGTATATATATATATATTTAAAATTATAGTCTTTAGAAATATTGTTTATCTATTTCTTTTGGTTAAAATATCCTATATTAAATTCTACAAAATTAAGAGAAACTTTGTTAGGTTCATAATTATCTAAACCTAGCACTAAATTATATTTCTAAAATTTATAGATATTAAAAATAAACCAATGGTAATGGGATTAAAAATTACATTTAAAAAACTGCATTAATGTTTGAATAATTTTTTTAGTAATAAAATTATAAGAATAAATTAATCCGTTTAAAGTTTATTATATATATTTTAATATTATATTATTATATTTCAAAAATTATAAAATATTATTATGATTTATTTCAACTATTATATTATTTATTGTTATATTAATAATGATTTCTGATTTATTACCTTATTTGTGACATAGACATTTATATTTATTCTTGTATTATATTTTTGTAAGTTTTTTTAAAGAAGGTAATAAATTTTTAAAATTTAATATAATATGATATTTGTTATCTTTTTTTACACGCTATAATATAATTGTATTTTTTGAAAATTGAATGTGAATTTTATTAGTTATATATATTATAAATAAATAAATAAATGTAGACATTTTGTTTATTTTTTATTACTATTATAACTTTTCAATATAAAAATAATATTTTTGTAGTATTTTATTAGATTTGTTGTCATTAACTATATTAAAAATATTTATTGTATGCTCTACATGTCATTTCCAAATAACTGCTGAGTGAAATTTTGATTTATTAATTTCATTGAACTAATAATACATTACCTTATATATCAAATAATATTTTCTAAAACTAAAATATACATGATAGCACAAATAATATTTTTTGAAAGATTTTTTAAAATTTTATTTTTATATTATAATAATTTCACCGACTAATATAGGTTAGATTAATTTATCATGTAGATTATTTAATGTCAAACATGTAAAATTTTGATATAAAAAAAATTCCGGCTAATAAAAGTTTAAAAAACATTATGAACAAATTTCAATAAAATAATTCGGGTAAATAAAAACAGTTAAACACACCACATATACATAATTAACATGGTTTGTAAGTCAAGTATAAATGATTATTCATATTTTTGTAAATCATTAATCTATAAGATACATAAATAAAAAAAACTATTAGGTACTATTTTTATGTTATTTTAGTTATTTATATAGCATGAAAAATAAATTTTTATAAAGTTTCTTAAACAGCATATTTTTAATGTACAAAATAAATTAGAGCCCAATAATTTATCCGCTTTTACAATCGATATAATTGTTTACAAGTTTGTTGATGAAAAAGTAACTGTAATTAGTTTTTTTATATATAAAATTAGTTTAATATTTTATTTAAAATTAAATTATATATACATATTTGAGTATATCATTTTATATACAATACGGAACTGATGAAATTTACTAATTACTAATTGCATTTTATTTGTAATTATCTACATAACATGCAATGATGTTTTAAATCTCTTTTTGAACAATTTATTTAAAACATAAATTATTTACCAGCTTTAACAGTAAATATTGAATTTATAGGTTTGTTGATAAAAAATTTTGTTTGTTATCTAAAATTATTTTATTATAACTTTAAATTATATTATATTTAATTTGGTAAATTATTATCTATATAATACATATGTAATACAAAATATTAGCCATTAACTATATTTTTATTATTATTTATATAATATTCAAGAAGATATTTTAAAATTTATCTTTTCGTAAAAAAATATTGGAATATAATGCACAAGATATTTATGACACAAATCTGAGCGTTAATGATACAATTTACTTAAATACATAGTTGTATTAACTATTATTGGTAATTATAATTTGTTTGGCTATTGATGAAAGTTAGTTATTGATTTACTTTTTAATTAAATTAAATAAATAAATAAATAATCATTAATTAATCAAATTAAAACAATTAATTGAAAAAGACTTATTCTTGGGTTCACCCCCTAAGGTGAATCTTTAGGTTCACCATCCAATAAGATTGTATTATTTCATATTTGATATTTTGTAAAAAAAGAAACAAAATCTTATTAAGTTATATTATGTTTTAAAAAATAAAAATACAAAATTAAATAAAAAATAATAGGAATTAATAAAGTATTTTAACACTAAACCCTAAACTCTAATCTTAAACCCTAAACTCATGGGTAAATCATAAACTTTTAGATAAATCTTATAGTCTTTTAAAAATTTAGTGTTTATGATTTACCCAAGGGTTTATGGTTTAAGATTAGAGTTTAGGGTTTAGGGTTTAGTATTTATGATTTACCCAAGGGTTTAGGGTTTAAGATTATAGTTTAGGGTTTAGTGTTTTAGTGTTAAATAATTTTTTTAAAGTTATCCAAAAGGTTATGATTTACCTAGGGTTTTAGCGTTTATGATTAGAGTTAAGGGTTTAATTCTTCAAAAAATTATCTTCATTTCTATTAATTATTATTTGTTATTTATTTTTGTATTTTTATTTTTTTTAACATAATATAATTTAACAAGATTTTATTTCTAAAATATATCTAATATTGAATAATGCAATCATATTGAATGGCGAACCCAAGAATAACTCATTGAAAAACTCTCATATAAATGATACTTTATCAAAAGTCAATTAAGTGACTTTCAAATTAAAATATAGCAGGATGACGCTTTTGTGTTTGGAATTTAAATTTTTGAATAGGCCCAGTTTGGTTAAATAGATGGACAAAAAATATTCTTGAAACTGTCAGCAACAAGCCAAAGTATGATATCGTCTATGTATTTTATGATCATTTGAATTATAATCTTCTTGTAAAAAAATAATTATAATCTTCATAATTTCTTTGTGATTTAACATGGTTTGTCTATCTACTGAATTGTTAGCTTTGAGTCTTTGTTTTATGTGACTAATGGTAAACTACAATGTTCACACTTGGATTGTAGTTTTCAAATATTAGAAAATGTATTTTGTAGCTATGTAATCTACTATTATTAAAAGGAGAATAAGGTGATCATCTAGCTATGCCACATCCTTTAAAATAATTAGCCAATCAGAAAGCAATAACTTGCCATGTTATCGTCGAAATAGGTCTTTCACTTTGGGCTTTGTCTACATTATCAAATGGCCCAATTAAACCCATATTGCTTAAGTGTCTACAGCGAAGTTTTGTTCTTCCCCGACTATCCCTCTTCGCCGTCCCCGATCGAATTCTCTACACTTAGCGGTAACCCACACGCTTCATGATCTTTCAGTCTTCTTATATAGTTTCGTTTCACCTACCCTCTTTCCCCTTCTATATAAAGCGTTCCATCTGATCTTCACCCGAAAACCTCCATTGAAGAAGCTTACAACGGCCATGAAATCCACCGAAAATTTACAGTCATTATTGGCAAGTCTCCTGTCGACCAGTTTCTCCGAGTCTTCTATTTCCTTTCAGGTACTTATGATGTAAGATATCCTCTCTCTGAGTTTGTTTATTTACTTCATATCTTCGACTCTTTGGGTTTTTTTTTCCCTTGAAATTTTTAGTTGTGACATTTTTCATTCTGTTTGTTTCTATTATTGTTTAATTTCGTAGTTCATTTTATTATTGTAGATTTAAAATAGCCTTCCCACTTCCTTCATATTTATCTCTGAGTTTTGAATTGTTTGTCTTTTATACCACAGACAGAGACATTAATCATTGACAAATTAAGCGCTTATTACTCTTCTTCTGTATCCAATTGTAAGTTTTGTTTTCCAATTGTTTGTTTGAGCCGAGTATAAGATGATAATCTAATCCTTCACAACACTGATTTCTGTCTCTGTTTCTCTTACAACAAGACAATACTGCAATTGAGAAAGAGGCTCCTCCTCCACCGCCAATGTTCTAGGTGTGCTTCTTCTGCAAAACCTTGACTGCAACAGACACAAGTACACTTGGTGGGTTTTACTCAAGAGTTGGTTGCAATGATTTGCATGTGAATGAGTGACGTTTCAGACATATTTCAGAGGTATATGATAATAAGAAACATATTTGTTAGTACTTTTTAAATTTTTCTTCAGTGAATCTCTTATGTCATCAATGTTCTGTGGTGGTTGATGTTTTTGATGTCGTTCTTTAAAGATCAGCCACAAAGTAATTTGCTTTAGAGTGGATGAAGCGTATTTATCAGCTCTAAGTGGCTGGCTGAATTTATTATTCTAAGGTTTTTGGATTTCTATGTCCATGATGTTCTTCACTACAGTTATATATGTTTGTCTCATTGATATGAAATATCTAACTGTATGTAAGGGTGGGAATGGATAAATACATGTGGGAGTAAGGCGTGCAATGTGACAGCAGTGAAATGAGCTATCTTCTGTTATATCTGAGCCATAACATGCATCTTGGAATATTGTCAACCGGGTGCT